GAGGTGCACCTTCTCTTGATTCACTCCTTCAACAGCAACGGCCAAAGAAGGAACTGCGTCATCCCCACCGAGGACATCACACCCACGCCCCCAGCCCAGGACGCGGCTCTGCTGCCAGGCCTTCTTCACCACACCAAAGCCTTTCTCTGTGCAGCAGCTCGCTGCACCCGTCCTCCTGGCCTGTCTTATACCCAAAGAGAATTCAAGGTAAAAATAGCCATCCCGTGAGGTGGGAGGTGAGAAAGCAAAGAACCCAATTCATTCTGCTCTTTTGCAAGGCCTAAACCCCATTTGATCAGCTCCGCTTCTCATCCTAAACCACTCATTTCCATAGCGGAGCCATACATACATACAATAAAACAAATGATAAAGCATTAATTAAGAACAACATAAATCTGCAAAAGAGCAGTATGTTCTGCTAAAACAGCTCTTAAAGGCACTGGTTGTATCTAAAACATCAGAAGGGTTATCCTAACAGTGATGTGTTTGAAGGGCACCCAAACGATCATCTCATTTCAGTAAAGAGTTAAAATTTGTTCCTAAGATGTATATGATACACCTCCAAAACTTTGGAGTTAGGGGACAGAATATCCTAGGCTAGTAAATCAACAGCAAATTGTCTTTTAAAAATATCAAGTACATTTTTTATTTGGGTCTGATATTCACAGTATTATGAATGTGATGATTGAATCTGAGAATCTACTCTTGAATTACATCCCCAAATTTGGAATTCACAGTTATATGAAGAAGGGACCCAACCCCCCATTCTTTTGAGAAGGCCTTTAAACCATATTATTTCAGGAAACCTTTTCTTCAAAGGGCAATTGTAGATGCCTCTCTGATTTTTGCTGAATCGCTGTTCTATTTGTATTACTTTATTTTGTTGTTGAACTGTTTTAAGGTCCAGAGCCTTTTGTGATTCTGGTGGCTAAGAAATGTTGTAAAAGAGAAATCGCAGAGGCCTACAAAAAAGTCACTCTCCTGGGTTCCTTCTGCCTTTCCCAGCGCAGCCACTTTCTACGGCAAAGTCTTTCTTTTCCGCTCCTGTTTCTGGAATGTCCTCATCCATCACGCCCTTCCCAACTCCTTCCCCGCCATCGGTCCCACGGAAATCCCAGGAAGGGAGATGGAGACCAGCGGATGGAGGGCATCTGTCCTGCCTGAAATCGGTTTCATGCCAAGAGGGTAGAGAATGGCCAGTTCAGTCCAGAAATTGAGCAAGAGGGGAGATAGCATGCAGAATGGCTCTCCTTTTCTGTTGACCAGCCTGATTGAGCAGAATCACCCAACAGGAGCTGAAGAGATGTTGTAGACCCCCTTGTGCCTCTTCCCTTTCTCCCCAGCACCTGGTAGCTCAGAGGTGAGTCACCTCCAGCTCTGTTGGCAGGATGGGATCGGTAGTTCTTGGTCAGTCCCTTGTCCATTTATTAAAATGTACTTAGGCTGAATTCATCTAGATTAATTCAGTCCTCAGATCTTGTGATAGCCCATTTCACTTGAGAAAATAATAATAGAGACCAACAGAATCAGGACAGCGACAGCCAAACTTCATAGGCCAGTATTAGAGGATGTGAATCTTGTGCCTAAACTGCAGGAAAGAAGGAAGTGGTTTCATCATCACCTCACCAGCAGTCTTTTCTCAGAGAAGTACAGGAAATAAATAGGATTGGTTTTAATGGAAACATCAAGAAGAAACTATGACGTGCAGGGCACCTACCAATGGACCACTTTCTACTCTCTCTGGACGTTCTGAGAGGAGGTTACGGGGGCTGCCACGGAAGAGCCCCGATGCTGGATCCACCCATTAACAAAATGGATACCGTGGTGGTTGTGGTGCCCACAGAAAATTCCCTGACTAGATATTCACTGGCTGGGGTTGCTCCCTTCTTCCCCCCCAGGACTCCACGATCCCCTCAGCCACCCACTGCATTCTTCCCAGAAGTTTTTATAGCTTCCCATTCTAGCCTACCTGCGTGGGATTAACTGGGCATCTCCCCTCCAAATTTAAAGTAGGTCTTAGACCTCTCGCCAGGGAGGCCTTCTGCACATGCCGTGTAAGTTAGCAGGCATGGATGGATTGGCCCATTGCTCTAAACAAACATAAATGTAAGCAAATTTAAGAAGAATTTTTCTCCTTGCATAGTGGTCTGCTGGAGCTGGCTCGTACTGGCTCACAAGAGCTGACTGTAAATTTTCTGGAATTTTATGAGCAACACGAGAGCAGTAACCAGTACAGCCAGTTGTTATACATTTACCAGCACACCAATGCTCCTGTGTGGCTTATCATTTTGTCATCGATCATATTTTGACTTGTCTCTCATTCCTCTTTATTGAGTATCACAGTCTAGTTTCAGGTGGCTGCAGGCAAGGTCAGGCATCAGAGTCTCTGACCTGTTGCAAGCAGAATCCATGAAAGAGCTGAAAGAGACAAGAAGGAAAAATGGACTGAACAGAACACGAAAACTTAGAAACCTGGTATTTCAACTTTTATAATGGAGGTTCTGGAGCGACAATAAGTAGAAAAGCAAAGAAGAGTGAAGATGACATCAGTAAGAAAAATCAGTAGCAAAACGTATTAAAGGAAGGAGAGAAAGTAGGAAAACTCCATTTATGATAGAGTCACAAACTTTGGCAGGGGGGCAAGAGTCTGGATCAAAAGACAATGGAAGAGTGTGAAGAAAAGGAAAGAGGCAGTGAGATCTTGAAAAGCTGATTAAAGCACCTAATATTTTGAAAGGAAACAAATGATTTTTCTGTTACTGGACAGGAGGTGTTTCTACTCCCAAAAGGAGTAAAGTTTCAAGCAGAAAATGAACTCAGACCCAGCACTGGGAACCTGGAAAGTCGATAAGAATGATAATAAAAAATGATAAAGTCCAAGAAGTAAACTTGTAGCATTTTCCATTTTTCTGGGTTAAATTCAACTGGGGTGGTATTGTGATCTAGCAAAGGATCCAAAATTTGATTACAATCTCCAGTCATCATTATCTGTCCCACAGGAAACATCTGTCTTGCTTTTCTGGGAGAAGAGTCCCAAGTAGGTTTTTCATTACCCCCCAGTGGGAAATTGGGGCTTGGTTTGTTTATGAGTGTCTATAAACAAAGTTCCAGCTCAGATCCAAACTGTGAGGGCTGAGGAACAGAACAGCTTTGGTTCCTCTGCTTTCTCAAATCCAGCTCCACGCAGCTGCTTTATGGTTTTCTTATCAGCCTAGCTCAGAAGAGAGGAGAGGTAAGAGCTGAGCAAGGACGGATGTGGTTAGATGTCCACCATGATAGCTTGAAGTACAGTACATTCAAAGTGAAGTTGTTGGCTGGAGGCGTGGGCGAGAGGCACTGGGAAAAAAGAGAATTGCTTCTTCATTTTGTTGCCGGGGGGGCAGATGTATCACTTTTATCTCCCTTGGAAAGAGAAGAGGACAGAGATGGGGCTGAGTACCAGATGTGCATCTTAGCTGAGCACAGAAGAGGTCATTTGGGTGACAGGCTGCAATGCTCCTCTTCCCTCTGCCTCTCGCAGGGCAGATCTCTCTCTCTCCTTCTATGCCCCAAATCTTGCTTTTTCTTTTTCTTTTTTAAATAATTCTCTCAATGTTCTTAAAGGATTTGTCTCCACAATGAATACGGATTGTGTTCTGGCTGAAGCATTAGATCTGACACACTTTTCAAAGGAAAACGATTCATTAATTCATTAATTTCACAGTTTTGCCGCAGTTATCAGTTAGTAAGCAGGAACTGGGTGGATTGTAAACAAATATTTTGTTGAATTAATCACCTTCTCTTGCTGAATTTTTGCTGAAGAATGGCATTCTTTTGCTGAATTCTTTTGTGGAGTTAATCACATTTTAAGGTAACAGGTCACAAATTTTACCTTTATTTAGAACTAATTTGTTAAAACTGGGAATTCCAGTTCTTTGTCCTAAGTTTCTTGCAAGTTTCCCATTTCTAGTTTGGTAATTTTTTTTAGTTGTACATGACATTAACTGAAGATTTGGGAAGCTTTTCCAATAATATTAATAATACTGTATGGGAGTTTTATACTTTGCTAAAGTGCTGGGCCCAAACAGTCAGCTCAGAATAGATTTTAATTGAATACATTGCCATTCAGCAGTTTTAGGCAATCCAAATTCGTCCAATGTTTTCAAAGACTGATTAAGGGTAGCCTGATCCAAAGTGCTAATGCCATGAATTGCCAGCAACTCCAAAAGAAAGACATGCCAGCAGTTTTCAGGCTGGGATTATTCCATAGCGTCAATTGAGAATTAGGATCAAATACAGTATACATTTCCCTTCCAGGGTTGATGGGCATCACTTATTTTATTAGTGATATGTGTTTCCTCCCTACTAGGTGAACTCATCGTGGTTTGGTTTGTTCATTTTAGGCATTGTATTTGTTTTAACTGTATGCTGCCCCGAGTGGGTTTTGAAGCGGGGCAGCCTTATAAATTGAAATAAGAAGTGGGCTCAAAATTAGAATGTTAAAATTAGAACAAAAGATGTTTTAAGCTGAAACATAGCAGCAGGTGTATAATATAAAACACCTTAGCCCAACATTTTCCTGTCACACAGCTGAGAATTAGTGAACGTGGTGCCCAATAGACCTGGAGGGCTTCAGAGAAAACTGGGTTAGAATCAGAAGAAACTCACTTCCCAGTGCAACTTTTAACTCCAGGCTCTTCCAGATGTGGATCTAATTCCATTCCTGCATCACTGAGCCTCCCACCTGTCCAGTGGAGCCAGGTCCAGGTTTTCGTCGTCTCATATCCCAGCTCGCCTCTGCTGCATTCCTTGTTTGAAGCAGGGAAAGCATTGCACCCATGAATAGGAGATCTGTGTGACTGGAAGGGACGCCTGTGTAGACCCATCTTCCAGCCCCATGGGATCCAGTTGTGGGGCAGAACAGTAGCCATGCCAAGGATAAAGAAAGCCACAATGGCGATCACAGAATCAGCAGCATTTTTAAAAAAGAAATCTTTATAATTTTGTATTTGTTTGACAGTATTTTTATTTCCCCCACTTTTTTCTCCTTAAACAACAGGGACAGGAGGTACCTTTTAGCACAAAATGGGGAAGGCAGGACAGCACATTAATTCCTGGCCAGCAATTGTATGAGAGTCCAATAGATCTACTCGCCAGGAAAGGTGGATAGGCTGTCAGTTCTCCGTGATTTCTGTGGACTCCTGAAGATATAACCATGTCTATTCCCAAGTACTCCAACAGAATCAGAGCAACTCCTCCATCCCTGGTGATGGAAAGGCTGGAAGTGGCCTTTGGATAGCTACTCAAGCTACGCTGTTCTGCTGGTAGCTTGAAGTTGGAGCTTGCTGTACATGACCTGCTCACCTTCTGTTGTCCTCAGATCATTCTCAGTCCTAAGTCCCAAAGGAGTCACAGCAGATACCTTACTGACAAAAGCATAGGTGACCTCTGAATTCTAGAAAGTCAAGAAAAGACAATTAAACCAGAACCCATTATAAAGGGGATTTTAATTCCAACTTTGCTTTGGAACAGGTTGATCAACGGAAACTGGATTAACTCTTCCACTGTCCCACACAGAATCCTTACCAGCCACTAACCAAGCGTGAAAAGCAACCACGCAACACCAACGTCAACCCAGTTCCTCCACTTCCTGTAACCCAGACAGCCGTCCTTGAGAGACGTACACCAGAAAACCATCCACTTTGATTTATTTACGGCATGAAAGGAGGAATCCCTAATTTCTAAGATGCCTTCAAAAACAAAACGTCCTATTGCGCTGATTTACAGCTCCCAAACTTTTCTAGTTTGAAAAACAAAAAATTATTAACAATAAAACAAGCTGTCTGGAAAATAAAATGTCAACAGAATCATAGACTCCTAGAGTTCAAAGGGGGCATTAGGCCAAGCCTTCCTCCAGCAAAGGGGAGGCCCTCTCTCTCTATGCAAGGGGGTGCCTCAGTCAAACTCCTCTTGCTGTCAGAAAGTTTTTCTACCATCCCATCCGAATTTCACTACCTATAACTTAAATCCATTCCTTTCGGATGATCAAGAAAAACCTCTTGGTTTTCTCTATGTGACAGACTGCTTGAAACAATGACTTCCCGACCACCAGAGTCTTCTCTTTGGAAGGCGGAACAGTCACAGCTCCTTCAGTCTTCCTAAAGGGCTGAGTTTCCAACTCATGATCATCTTCACTGCTCTTCTCTGAACCTGCTCTGGCTTCACTGAACCCTTCATAAACTGTCCTGCCCACAAATGGAAGAATGCTTGAGGTGGTTACTTGTAAATCTTCTCTCTCAAGTCTCTCAGATCCAAGATCATTCAATTTGGCTTCCTCCTTTTTCTCTTTACGCTCAGATTTCTGCTGGCATCCTGATGCTTCCAGATCCGTACAAAAAAAAAGCCAGGAATAAACAGCCATTACTTGCTCATCCTAGTTATTTCATTCTCTTACAAACAAAGCAAAGATAGAAACATCCTTGAGTTTTCTTGGCTGCAGTGTCCATACTGCCTTCTTGGAAACTGCCTAGCCTACAGCTAAGCAATTTACTGGTGGTCTCCCATCCAAGTATGACTCAGGGCCAACATGCTTACCTTCTGAGATCTGCTACTGTATTTGTTGAGATCCAGTCTAAAGTCAGGCTGGGAGGAGAAAGACTCCCCTTTAAAGCCAGATCAACTCTTCTCACTTCAGCCACCTCCTCCCAGTACAGGAAATGTCCCCAACCCAATTACTAATGAGGGTAGTTACAGTGAGAGCTGGAGTTTTTTAGCTCAGAGGTGCCAGCTATATCAACAGTCAAGACACATCTAGTCCCAAGGCTAAGAACCACAAGGCTAAATGTCCACTAAATTGTGGGAAAGGCTGGAAGAAGGACACTATATTTGGACCCTGACACCTACCGTTCTTCCTCCTGCTCCAGTAGAAGGCCAGTGGCACTCCCAGGAAGGGGACAAGAAGACCCAAAGCTGCGTAGCCCACTGATGGGGCAAAAGGTGCTGAGGAAACTACAAAGTCAGAAAGGGAAAGGGGAGAAGTGTCATTTTGCATGATTTCTTTGGATAGTTAAACAAAGTTTTCCAAAATGTTCCTTCCCCAATTTATGTGGGGCATGTTGGGACCAGACATTCAGAATCCCTTGCCCCAAAGGACAGAGGAAGGAAAAAGCGTTTTTTTCCTAGTACCTTTTTGGGACAGATATATTCTCCTTAGATTTATTCAAAATATTAAAAGTCACCTAAAACATTGATGGCATTTAGCCAGCAGATGACTCTTCCCGCTGAAAAAGACTCACCTCTGATATTCAGCATCTGGCTCCAAGGAGACATGATCCACCGCCCATTTATATTTTCCTCATATCTGCAAGCAAATTTCCCACTCTGATGGTGTTTGGCATATAGGAAGGCTAGAGACATATTTAGAGTGACATCCCCAGGTTCTCTGCTGCTCCTCAGAGGCCCTTTGATCTCCACACCATCCCGGGAGAAATGGAACCTTTTGGTATTATTGCTCTCGTTGGACAAACAAAAGATGGACAGGGGTTTGCTTTCCCCCACTGCTCCAGAGGGATGGTCCACTTTCAACACTGGGGGAGGCAGTGGATCTGGAGACAACAAGAAATGGGAATCAGCTTGGAGTTGCGTTGACTCCACAATCTTCAGGGTAGAGACTTTTCTATGACTGCAGTAGGGGAAGACCTTTATATACAGGCTCTAAATAAATACAGCCCCAGTTATAAAGACCCACATTTTAAAAATGAAAAAAAAAATCCACACCTCTCACCAGAATTGGGACAGGATAACTCCACTCTGAAAAGATGCTTCTCCCATATTTCCTCTCTACGTATCGGCAGGCATACCTTCCCTCCTTCTCCCTTGAGGCTGTGAGGACCAGTGAGGGGTCTTCATGCAAATCCAGGCTCTTTGCAGAGGACCGATCCTCAGCTGATTGGGAGAACTGGTAGCGCCTCCAGCCTTGAAGAGTGACGGTGGGAGCTGAGCACCAGAGGGTGACTTTCTCCCCAGCAAGATACACAGGTTCTGAAGGAACTGGAGAAAGGCTGGGAGGTGGTGGAGGATCTAGGCAGTCCCAGAGAGGAAAAAGAGGGGAATATAAAGATGGCCTTCAGGCATCCCCATGAATGTCTTGACGGGCACCAGTCAATTCATCTAACTGCACTAGAGTTCTCAGCTGGACTTTTCTTTATGCAGAATGGAATGGTTGACACATTATCTTTCCATAGACAATACTCCTTGGAAATCAGGAGGCTGAAGAAACCTATATTGGGCAGCTTCACAGCCTGAATAGTAGGAAAAAATAACCCTGAAATCTCACTAATACACCATCACTCTCCAGTGATATTCTAAGGAAATTGAACCTTGGCTAAGTAGCATCAAAATCTCTCTGCTCCAACATGATGAAAGCATGCAATATTACATTTCCCTCCGCTTTCTGGTGTAAGACAAATGCGTCTGCTTCAGCATTTTCTCTCTCTTCCAAGGATTTTCAACACTGCATAAAAGTCCAGCCTCCTTTGAGTCTTCGCTCTTGTTGATTTGATGGACATGAAGTCCATTTAATTTGGTGACAAGGCCTGTCTTGTTTGCAATCATCATTTCCCAAGATTTTTTTTTTTCCAATTTCCCACTCCATTCAAGAGCTGTGGGATTCCTTGATCAACCTCCATGGAAGTGCTCCCAAACCTGCCTCTGTTTAGCTTTTTGAGATGAGGAAGATTGGCGAGGTGGTGGCATCTGACTCTCACATGAAAGCTGATGTTGGCAGCATTGTCCAGCCTCAGGTGAGCAAACATGCAGATACAAAA